TGTGCATGGTGATGTAGTTGAGCTGGACTCAAGAAATGCAAACATATGTGTTAGGGTTGGACCCTATGTATTGTTGTGACTAGGGGTCACGGGGTTTGGGTTATGTTTTGTAAACAAACTTTGGGCCTACGGGCCGACTACTTGACTTTATATATAAAGTAAGTATATTTTGAAAAGGGGTAACTTGGGGTTACGGCCTAGATTATATTATCACCCTATTTGAGGGTCTTGTGTTTGAAATACTTGTTGTATATCTATTAGATGTCATCCACACCAGTACTTTATAGCCATATAGAGTACTGACCCTCCTTTCAGGGGGGAGGGGGAGGGGGGCGTCCCACCACCATTTCAGATTGAGGCCAGAGCTTGCTACTTGTGCTTGTTGATCGGGCGATCATCTCAGAGGGAAGACTTGGTTCGTGTTTCCTCCATTCCATTTTTAAACAATTTAAACATGCTCATGGATATTGTTTTTTTCATTATGGAGCCTGTGTGCTCGTGTTTTCCCCGTGTGGCATTTGTTTTCAAACTATGATTTCCGCTGCGTATTCAATTACTTATTATGTATGTTATGGATGACTTATGTGTGAATGATATTCGAGATGCCTTGTATAATATGGATGAGTCAGACTGCGGTTGACTATTCGTATTGTACGACGGGTTGTTGACGTGTCCGGATAGGTCCGGGGCGTGACATGAACTCTAAGTTATACTAGGGGTAGGCCTTAAGGGATGCCAAGATAAAGTGAATAATGAAATGATCCTAGGTATAGGATTGGCCTACGGGTGTATTCGATAGTCCTTGAGGATAGCCGGTTGAATTAAAGAAATAAGTAAGGACCATGGCCCTTACCGACTCTAGAGAACGGGGTTGGATAACATGGACTTGCATCATGATCACGGATTTGGGTGGAATCCGAACGGAGACCTAACTAGGCTCCGACAACGGTAACACATAAGATAGGACCCGAAGGGCCTTACCTTCATACGGGACGATGGGTATGAGTCCAGGGACGGGGCGTTGGAATCCGAACCGAGGGCCTTATGAGGCCTCGGACAGCGGTAGCCAATCCCGTAGAAATAATAAGACACACGGGTTGGGTTGTACAAATAATGAATGGCAAGGAACGTATAAGAAGGGCCGTGTGCCGACAAATAAGTTAATATACTTATTATTGAGATAATAAGTGGCAAATATAAATTATTATTTATATTATGATGTCACCCTAATTTGAGGGTCTTAGCAATTAAAACATTTATTATACTCGGTATAGTTGTCATTGTACTTGTCAAATGCTTCCAGGTACTGACCTCCCCTTCACGGGGGAGGTCACCTCACAGTTTCAGGAAGAACTTGAAGGTTGCTACCATCGCCCATTGCTTCGGGAAGATTCAAGGAGAGAAGACGTGGTTCGTGCTTCTTTCGTTCAGTTTTAAAAACACTTATGTTAATGCTCATGGATATTACTTTCCGAATAATTATTTTGGGGGCTTGTATGCCTGACTATGCCAAGTGTGACTTGAACACTTGTATTAATGCTTCCGTTGTTTTAAAATGAATGTTTTACAATATGTTTGTTTATGGATGTACTATGTGTGAATGATATTCAAGACGCCTTGTATAGTATGGATGAGTTGGACTGGGGTTGACTATTCGTACTGTACGGCGGGTTGTTGACGTGTCCGGGTAGGTCCGGGGCGTGACACCTTTAGAATGAATATACATTCTCCAACTTTAATATAGAAGTCTTCGAAATTCGTTTCGGACTCTTATCCATTAAATTACCAATACCGGTAATTGGACCTCGTTTGACCCACTGGTCAACCCTATGACTTCGATATGGTCCAACTAAAGTATCCACCACCATATCCACATCATTTAGACCAAGATGAATATAATATGTGGTCTCGGAACTATCACCCCTCCCAATATGGGCCCCATGTGCAATTTACCATTCACGTAAAAGAAATAATAAAGATTCACAACTTCGCAAATTCGTAATTCATTCTTCAAGGTTTATTACATAATTTACTAAAAAGTAAATATCCTTGGGGACAGTGTTACATATAATGACTCCATCATATCGTATAATGACTTCACTCCCGCCCTATGATAGCCCTATATAATGACTCTCATCCTCCTCCCCCCCTCCCCCCCCCTCCCCATCCTCTTCCTCCTCCTTCTCTTCTTTAAATGACAATGATTAACATGTTATTACCTTTTATATTGCAAATCTAATCCAACAAGATTGATTGTACTTTTTGAATCGTTATAGTATGCATTAGAAAATGTATATTTGTAGGATCTCAGAACTAAATAAGGTGCCCTAAGTCTTTCCAAAGTAAATTCTTTAGGAAGATTGCCTCACTCTTTCCATACACCTTTTCCTCTTGACTTCGAGTCTTGTGTTTAGAAAACCAATCTTGGTAATGACACATGTGTTTTAATAAACTATTAAAAATTACACATAAAAAAGCAATGATAAAAATCTATAATACAAGTAGAGTCTAACCAATAAGTAGCTTACCATTGATTACCCAATGTAGCATGATGCGCGCTCTACCTGTAAATTATAGTGATTGTTAACCTTAGACGAACCCTAGTAAGAAAACATACCCCTTCATCATGATATACCTCTTCATCATGGATCTCGCCACCCCATGAGTGCAATGTAATTTCATAGGCCTATATAGCCCTTTGCGAATGCTGAAGTCCAAACTGCTGCTTGATCCACATCTCTAACGCGAGACCACCCTCGTCATCTTGATGTATTCTATGTCATTGCTATGTTGTTGAGTGTTGGTGTAATGCCCAACAGAAAAACTCTGACATATTTATACCACAATTTTGATATTTTAATTGTGTATGACAAATTAGCCAATGATTAATAACATGTCCTTTCAAATTGATGACTTGAGATCTGAATAGACAACACAATGCACACTTTTTTTACTCCAAAGGGCGTCTGAGGGGTCTGAAGTAATCAGGGATGAAACTCACTCCATTGAAGTTCGAACCCGAGACCTCCCACAAGGGAGAGTGAGTCGGCGACCAGCTGGGCTCGACTGCTTCATCACACAATGCACACTATTATTAACCATATACTCCTTATACTACCTCCGTCCCAAAATGAAGTTCATGTTCACTATTCATTGGTCAACTTAAATCGCTCCTAATCTTTTACATTATACTTCCTCCGTCCCATAAAGAAGTTCCTAGTTTGACCTACACACATATTTATGTAAGGTAGAGTTTTGTTTTGACATTCCAAGTATACCCTTACTTTATGTCAAATCAAACAAAAAGTGGGTAAAAAGTAAGGGTAGCTGTGACTTTTTGGTTAAAAGTGGTTTCCTTTTATTGAAATGATAACTTCTTTTTGGGACATCCATAAAAGAAAAGTGGGAACTTCTTTGCGGGACGAATGTAGTATATCAATTTCTTATCAAATTTAAATTTTCTTGATCAGGCTTTGTAGCGGTTCCAATGTAGTTTCTGAATATGTAAATTTTATTTACTAAAAATAATCCGAGTGTGAACAGGGATCAAGTTGTTTTATCGTCAGTCAAACATCGTAAACCGAACAGGAACTTCTTTACGGGACGGAGGGAGTATGATTTTAAATTAAGGATAATTCTAAAGAATAAAGTGACTTTATATGGGAGTCAATTACCTCTATTACTAATCTTCAACTTTTAATCCCTCGATATACTGAAAAGTACATTGAGAATAGTGTTGTGATATCCCAAACAAAGATATGTTTTTTTTTACCCCGGAAGGCCAACCACCAAAATCAGTGGGGTAAATGTCGGGGGACATTTACCAGATTTTATTAAGATAAAATAGAAAAGGAGGGGACCGGATTTTATTACAAAGATATGCATTTAATGCTTGTCCAACGTCCAAAAGGTTGATGCCCAACCCCAAGGCCCCCACCCCCGACCCGACATGATGGTGGAGAGGTTAATCACAGCGACTCAATCAGCAAAGCGACAGTAGGAGGAAACCCGTGCAGGTGCACCAGAGGGCCAACCTTATTTCAGGTTCTGAAAACCCCTTTTTGGCCGCTACGGAATTCGAACCTTGGTCTACGTCCAATTTTTCCCACCGCTCGACTAACTGAGCTACTCGTGCGAGTGATTTAATGCTTGTCCAACAACTTACCTTTGGATATGATTATGGATGGACTCGGGCCGGGTGGCCCGACCCGGAACCGGCCCGAGACCAGTACTGTTCCGGCCCGGGCCGATCCGGTGGCCCGGTCAGTGACCGGTCCGGGTAGGCCTGACCCGTGGGTTTTCCGGTCCGGGCTCGGATCACCCAAAACAAGGCCCGACCCGGCCGGTCCCGGGCCCGGTTCGGGCCAAATTTGATTTTTTTTTCATTTTTTTTTTCAATTTTCGGGTTGGGCTGGGTATTTTGGGCCATTTGGGATGGTTTGGGGGGTTGGGGGTGGGAGGGGGGTTAATTAGGAAGAGGGAAAAAAAATTGATAATGGGCCCGACCCGGCCTGGCCCGGACCCGGTGGTTACCCGGGCCGGTCCCGGGTACACCACTCCTGAACCGCCGGCCCGCCCGGGCCTAGGCCCGACCCGGACCCGAGTCCACCCCTAGATGTAATTTAGTTCCCTCAAAGAAACTTTGCCCACTATGCTTATCCGACCCGTTTTTTACCCAAATTTTTGGATGGGAGAACGGCCTAAAATCTCACTTGCTTTTATATACGTAGTAGAATATATATATATATATATCGAAGATATTTTTTTTTATTTTTTACTCCTATTTTTTATTTTCTTATTTGAAAAAATGGAAACTAATAATAGTCCTATCGATGTTCTTACGATAGTCCTATCTTTTCATTATTCATGAATAATAAACATTTTCATTCGCGGGTCCCTCACCGATTTATGACATGTTATTCCAAGTTATTTTATCTTTGTATTATTAGTTTCCATTTTTCTTTTTTATTTATATAAGATTACTTATTGGACTCGTGGAAGTGTGTTCAGACTTCAGAGCCGACCGAGCGCATTGTCCTCGCTTCAGATATCAGACTAGAGGTTTGATGGAAGGAGCTGAAGAACATCCAGAGCAAAAACATGTGGTATGGAAAACATCACCGTCTTCCTCAATGATATCCGAATCGAATTCACTTGTATCAGCAACACTTGGTAGGGTGATGAACACATTGCTCACGGCTAAGCCTAGAAAGCTCCAAGACGCTATTTTTAGTCTACAGCCCGTTCATAAAATTGCACCAATAGGAGGTATATATGCTCGTTGTAGTATATCAGTATAAAGTATATATAATAATGTTTTTAATGTTTTTTATCCTTCTTGCTGTCCTTAGTTTCTTTGGAGCAGTCACTTTGGTTTCTTCACAAGTATGTTGATGATGCCCTGGCTAAAGAGGAGAGTTTGGACCACGTTCTTATTCCCATGATTGAACATGTATGGACAGTTATTCCTGTTTTTTGTTTATTAATTATAGCTCAGCTATATTTAGAGCCTGCTTGGTCTTGGTAATGTTGAAAGAGACTGAATCTACTAAAGCTGATGAAAGTATGGCTGAATCTACTTAATTATGAAAAATTAATTTAAAATAAAATTATTAATCATCATCATCATTACCCCAGTGCCGCAAAGGCTCCCACCTACGGTGGGGTAAGCGGGGTCGGATGTACGCAGTCTTACCCCTGTACTAAATCACATAGAGACTTTTTCCGAATGACCCATAGTAAAAATCACGTCGAAAATTGCAAAGGTTGACTCTTTACTTTATAACAAAGAAGCGCACACAGTTTAGTGAGCCATTTTGCTTTATTCCATCATATTCCCAAGCCAACAAATAGTGAGTCTTTGGCTCCATTGAAAATGATGGAAATATAAAATAAAATTATTAATAAAAAGGAAAAAATATATGGAAATCTTAAAGTATTACTCTTCAGCAAAATTAGCCTGAAAATTAACTTAAGCCTTGTTTATTTTGATAATTGTAAAATTCGGTTCGAAAATCAAAATTTTAGCTAATGGTAAGAAAGCTGGTTTATTAGCTGAAAAAGTGTTAAAAACAGGATCTTAATATGTATGTTCTAGATTCTTGTACCTTTTTTATTAAATTTGGATTGTTTTTTCCCTTCACATAGAAACTTATATAGTTAGAGTAATAGAGTTCTACAAAGCGTTAGGTGGCCACTAGGCAGCAGCCTAGACCACTAGGGACTAGCATCTAGGCAGGTTTAGACAGTGACCGATTTGGCTCGAGGCGGGGCTGAATCAAGAAAAAACATAGGTGTATTAAGGAGGCAGAGCTAGGCAGGATTTTCACGACAATGCTCACGTTTGTTTATTGAGCCATTATATATTTGAGATGTAGTTACTAAGATAGTGAAACAGACCCATTTGATTTTGTAACCGCATTATAGATTATCAATTTGAGGACCTGGGGAATACCCTGGTAGTAACATTCTTGCTACTATGGCTATTACTAAATATTTAAAATTTTGTACATCGAGGATGATATATTTTTGATGGCATATGCATTAACCCATCAGCCATGGTCAAGCTTATGGATACTTCCTTTATACCGGGGGGAGGGGGGTGGCGACGAGGTGCCTATTTTAGTTTTCTCATAGCAGGAGTAGCGCATTATCTAATACGTTAAATTATTACTTGATTTGGAACCGACGTGGTACAAAATCTTAACACATCCCCTCAGTCCAAATCGTATACAGACAAATTGAGTGGTGATAAATCGGCCAAACCTATCTCAAAAGGGCTACCCATAGTCCATACAATCAGTGCCATAGAATTAAACAACAATTGGACCATGGCAATGTGTAGTTACCATATTAAGAGTTGAGGTCCCATCCCAAAGGCGATAGGAAGAGTATTCCTTGATTTTATTTGTTCGATTACTTTTTATATCTAAAAATGTGAGACAAACACTTTAACAGCAACCTTGATTAAATGATGTAAACAGTGATTGTATGGGCTTAAATGCTTAGTGATCCATGTGTTAGAAAGAATAAAATGTGCTACATTTATCCTTTCACTTAAGAAAAATGTACTTAGAAGCTAGAATTACTTGTCAGTTCACATTTGAGAGTGCTGAAAATTGCATGTGGAGGTCTTCAAGAGAAATACGACTAAACAATTGCCTTGCTCAATGGACTTGATATGATTGCTACTTTAATTTTAGTTTATCGTTCATGTTCTTAGTTTTTATGTTCAGTAGTAAAAGTTTCACGTTTTCTTATTAAAGTACTATGCATCAGTTATTCATTTGAACTTTTTCTTCTAGTCGTTGCAACTCAAGGATTCTAGACAGAGTAAACAAGAAATAGTACTTCTCAATTGGCTTTTCCAAGATGAAAATATTTTCCAAGCTCTTGCAAACAGTTTAGCAGGAATTATATCCCAGAGAGATGATCATTACGTTTCCCTAGGTTGGTGTGTTCTCACTCGGTGTCTTTTAGAATTTGAAAGTAGTACGGGGAAGCTCATAACAAATGGTAAGTTCTCAAATTCACTCAATGAAATTTCACGTTTGATGTTGATATCTACTCAATCCTTAACTAGCTACAATACAGTTATCATTTGTTAAAGACTTAATGACCTTTTTTATTTCCATATGATTAAGATGCTAATGACATGAGAGTATTTAGATATCACCTCTAGTTTTGGAGAGAATTTCTGGTAAATACAATTTCGATTCTGCTCAACATTTGTACCAGTAAAATAGTTAGGACTCTTCATTTGTACCAACGGCTGGTACCAATACCATTTTCAGTAATTTAGTTTCTTGTAATGGCCCTTTCTTGTTGTTAATTGGTTGGAAAGTGTAATACCCTGCTTCCATAGTAAAGTTCCTCAAAGCGCAATGTATTGTTCCCTAACATGAGTGAGCTCATGCTAGTGTTATACTGTTATCATTTAGAAAGTTTTGAAGTTCATATTTTGACTGTTAGCTCGAGTTAAGTTTGTTGTTATGCTCCTTCGTGATCTGGTGGATAATTGTTTTTTCTATATGTTCTCTATTTTTTAATTGCTTATTATTTTAAGAACAAATGAATATTATTGAGGACATAAATTTTGCAAGCTCAATTCATCTCCCATTTCATTTGAATTTATCTATTTATGCAAGGATGGGGTGGACGAGTAGATCATAAAAATAGAATTCGATATTGTAGTATCAAGGTTCTTAGAAGTACTACCTCCGTCCCAATGAATTCTTCCAAGTCAAATTTGGCTCGCAAATTTAGAAAGTGAGAATAAAGTGGAAATGTATGATTATAGTTGTGTAAGAAAGAGGTGAATGAATGTGAACCACACATTTTTTCCAAAAGTGAAAGTTGGAAGAATTATTTGGGACGGCCCAAAAAGGAAAGTTGGAAGAATTCAATGGGACGGAGGGAGTAATATTTTTGTTATTTCATATGACATTTGTATTGGCCTGCAAAAGTAATATTCCGTAGCTTTCTATTTTCTGTACCAATACTGGTTAAGAGGGTTTAGTTAACAAGGCTTCATTTATCAATACAGGAATAAGGGAGACTTATGATGCACTTCAGAAAACCTTTTGCTCTTGTGTCCCAAATCTCATCGCAATTGTATGCAATGGGAGGTAAAGTCTTTCCTCTTTTATATATATGGAATTTGAGTGTTACATTTCATCTGCCTCAAGTCAGAATACGGTTACTCCTTGGTAAAGGAGAAAAGTAAATTGGCCACACACTTCCACTCTAAATAGAAGTGTAGAACTTTGTTTAGTTGTTGAATGAGCGTGGCTTGATCAGCATCATCAATTAAGATTTAAGAAAGTGAAGAAAGTTATCGATCTTCAATTTATTAATTTGTTTTATATACTATTGGTGATTAATTTTCCATCATTTTCAATGGAGCCAAAGACTCACTATTTTTTGGCTTGGGAATATGATGGAATAAAACAAAATGGCTCACTAAATTGTCTGCGCTTCTTTGTTATGAAGCAACAGTCAATCCAAGTAATTTTTAATGCGATTTTCACTATGGGTCATTCGGAAATAGTCTCTCTGTGCTTTAATACAGGGGTAAGGCTGCATACATCCGACCCCCCTACCCCATCGTTGATGGGAGCCTTTGCAGCCTGGGGTAAAAATGATGATGATGATGACTATTGGTGATTAGGTTATCTTCTTATTCTGACTTATTAATGAGGGATTGTGCCATTTAGTATATGGATGCATGCCAATGGTTGAGAATCTAAGAAATAGGGGAATATTGATGATAGAAGAATGTTGCCAACTTCTGCAATCTGCATCATTGAAAGTAGAAAAGCTATTACATTTGGATGATGTAGTATATTGCTCCTCTTGATAGTTCATCAGTTTTTTTGTTCGGGTTGAGTGAATAAGCTTATTTTTGGCAGTTTTTTTAGATTTAGCAGAAGTAGTGGTTTGAGGCATATGATAATATATGCCCACATGCCCATACACATTCATCCTATATTAGGCAGAGGTAGTAGTTTGGGACTTAAGGATGTCGTTGCAAGCTTGAACCATATGATGCTCTAGCTTGAGGCGATTGTTGACGCATATTTATGCATTGTATATTGAGTAGCCTCCATAGAGAAGTTAGAGACACATGGGTAACATTTGTTTGATGTCTGTAAAGGTCCTAAAGCGTCTATGTATATTCAGGTTGACTCTAAGTCCCTTAAGTGACATCGAGTAAGGATGTTTTTACTTGGACTGTAATTCGTCCCAGACCAGATCAGATCAGACCAGACTAGTTCAGACCAAACCAGACCAGACTTGGATAGTTATAAAAATACAAAGAAACCAGACCAGTTCAGACCAGACCAGATCAGACCAGACCAGACCATCAAATTACAGTCCAAGTAAAAACATCCTAAAGTTCCTTGAGATCTTCAACGGTGGTAACCTAGTCGGGGGACTTCCTTGATTGAATTTAGTGTCTAAGTCAGGTCTTGAAGTGTCTGCATATATTTAGGTTGATTGTAATTTTCTTCTTAAGTGGATTTGTGTAAAATCCCCTCAATTTCTCAACAGTGATAACCAATTTTGGGGACTTCATCTCTTTATTTATTGACTAAGCTGTCTCAACGTGTATCCAAAAGGTCTTAAAGTGTCTATATCTCTAGCTTGATTCTAATTCATCTCAAGTGAAATTGAGTTAAATCCCCTTCAATTCTCATCAGCGATAACCAATTTTTGGGACATCTTGATGGAGAATTGGGCATTAGTTAATCTAAAAAAATTGTAGCACTTTGCAGGATGGATTTGAGCTGCCAACTAGGCTTGCTGTTGCTGCTGCTGATGTTATCCTGTCCCTTTTTGTATCAATGACAAGAAAGGGTTTGCATTCTGACTCCTTTGACTGCAAGAAAAAATCATTTTCTCCCACTGTAAGCAGCAACTCAATAAGGTTTCTACCTTCTGCTGCGAGTGAGAAGAAACCAAGCAAAACCTGCAAGAATTCTCAATCAGAAGAGGCAGAAGTGATGTTTTTACTATGGGATCATTTGGATGAACTCATTATTCTCGTGGAGAAACTTGTATCTGTATGTCTAAAGTCCCAACACTCTCTCTAACTATGTAATATATTTTTGAACTCTCTTTGTCAACTATTTTTTTTCTATTTAGTCAGCTCCCAGTTACTTTGTTATATGCTAGTTAGGAAATGCTTCAAATATTTAAAGTGCACCCCGACCTCCATCGGAGAAAGAAGAAATAAAATACCTGCAGAAAGCTTCAATTGTCAATTTATAGTTAGTTTAATTTAATATGCAGTGGAGCAGGAAAAGTAGGTCTTTGCATGCAAAAGGCCTAGAGCAGGTTTGCAGATGGTTGCAGGTGACTAAGAAAGACTACGACTGCATCCCAAATGATGCAGGTTGGTGCCATCCTGAGTAGCTTAATCTTTTGAGTAGAATATTCCCCACTCATTCCAGTCATTTGTTCACTTTGCTCTTCCTTTTACATTTATGTCAGATTCAAAAATGCGCAACACGGGAGCCTTACTGCTATCTTCTTGTTGGAAGCATTACGGTTTGCTGTTGCATTTAGAAGATTACAGAATATGTGGGCAATATAGAGAATTATTGGAGCAGTACTTGTCCGGGATTCAGGTCTGTCGCTTGTGATACTCTCATGAATACCCTTTCATTTGTGTATTTCTTCTTCATTCTCTCTCTGTTGGTCTGTGAAGTGGGGGCAATGGCTTATTGTATGCTGCTAGACTGTTTCTTACCTATTTTTTTGTCTTTCTTTGCTTGGCTGTTTGTTTTGCTATCCCCACATGTGATCCTTCTTTCAGAGTTGGAATTTGTTGAAAATTTGATGTTGAAGATGCCTAAACCAACTGCAGGTAAAGCGCAACTAGTGTTGTTATTCGAGCCGAGTCGAGCCCGAGTATCGCAAGTTCAAACTTGGCTCGAGCAGCATATTTCAAGCCTCGCTCTAGCTCGTTAAGGCCCGATCCCAAATTCGAGCTCGAACTTGGCTCATTAAAAGTCATTTATAGCTCGTAATAAACCTTCTAAACCTATTGAATGTATGTGGTAGAATGACATTTATGTCCCACTTATGAGCCCACCACGAGCCTATCGAGTTGAGCCAGCTCAGCTCGTTAATCTAATTGAGCAGCACACTAAGCTTGAGCTACTCATTTTCTCGAATAAATGAGGCGAGCTAGAGCCTTAACGAGTCAAACCGAGTCTAGTTCGAGTTGTGCTTGCTTCACTTAACAACACTTAATCGGTTAATCCCTCTGTTCTCAAATAACTGTCCATCAACTAAATACTTTTTGTGCACAAATAATTGACTCTAGCCATTCAATAAAGTAAAACATACTCCCTCCGCCCCAAAAAATACTTCCTAGTTTGACTCGGACCGCTTTTTAATGCAAGTGTAAAATTGCTTTGACTTTCCAATAACGCCCGTATTGCTTTGGCCGAAAAGGGGAGGTGGATAAAACAAAAGTTACTGGAAGGGAAAACAAAGGAGAGTTGGATTTGATATATGTGATCAAAAGTGCACAGTACACAGCCACTCCAAAAAGTACAAAACTACACCTTCCCTCCTAGTTTCTAATTTTTACAACTCCAAATACACCTATTTTGCTCATTCGGCCTCACACTACAAAATGCACACTGCACACACACGCACACAATTAATGAGGAATACAGCTTCTATAAATGTGGAGTCAACTTCATCTTCCATTAATGCTTCTCTTTCTTCATCTTCACCAACAAACCTGCAAGCAACAATAAATGAGGGGCAAACACAACAAGGCAGCAATACTCAAAGTAAGAGACTGTCTAATATGGAAAGGGAGAGCATAGTGGATGAAATCCTACTAACTTCAAAAAGAGACATGTTTGGGGAGTTGATAGCTCAGGAAGGTGTTTTCTCTAAACTTGCTACCAAATTTCAAGTTTCCAGAAGATCTATTTTCAGCATAGGGGCCACAACTAAAAAACAACTTAAAAAATGGGAGGGGGTGGATGTAAGAAGCGGTCGGCCGGAAATCCAGGCAGGAAAAGGATTGAGGTGGATCTAAGCTCCAGTTCTGAAATCCCACCGTATAGGACTCATATCAGGGCACTAGCGGCAGCCAATTCAATTCCACAGACAAGTTTGCACATATGTTTTAAAAAAGGTATGCTTAGAAGTCAAACAAATGCTATTAAGCCTTTCCTAACAGATGCAAATAGATTGGCAAGACTACAACATCGTTTAAATTGCGCAATGCAATTGCGCAATAATGCTCGCCTCAGTAATTTTGTAGAGAGAGGCGGATTATTGCATGGCTAAAGGAAGCGTCCTGGAAACATACGCCTTGTTGCGCAGAAACGTACGCAATCCGGTGTATGCCTCAAGGCAAGGTGAGGCGGTCGCCTTAATAGTTTAAGTAATATGTGGGCCGATAAGGCCCACTTTTTTTAGTATGACAGTGTTCTCTACCTGCGCTATTCCCTTCGTTGTTTGCTTAGTTGCTTAAACCTGCGTTAATCGTCCGACGTTCGTCATACACCGGTTGTCTACTGCGTCAATTTCCAGAATTCCAGGTGCATCGATGTTTTGACTTCAATTTTTATTAGTAATACTTTGTCCATTGTTTTGATAATTTCAGTTAATTGATATTATTGTTTAATCACGGGTGCTTCATTAATCTTAACTTCAGTTAATAACTTCTTTATTTGTTTTGATACTACCTCTGTCCCGGTGGACTTTGCCAAGTGCAAAGTAGGTGAGAAATAAGAAAAGTAAAAACTGTGTGGTTGAGATTTGTGCAGAGGAGAGAGAAATGTGCAGAACCACAAATTAGTGCTTTAAGCCTTTAATTGGAAAGTGACAAAGTTTTTTGGGACAACTAAAAAGAAAAAGTTGGCAAAGTCCAATGGGACGGAGGGAGTAATTAATATAGAAAGTTAATTCTACATATTATCTTAATTTTAGTAATACTACTATGTATATGGTTGTCCATCTTTTTGATAATTTCAGTTCATTGATATTGTTTATTAAATACTAATCACAAATGCTTCTTTTAGTTCTTTAATCTTAATTTCAGTTAATTGATATTATCTTTAATCACAGGTGCTTCTTTAATCTTAATTTCAGTTAATAAATTCTTTAATCATTTTAATAATTGATATAGAAAGTTAATTCTACATATTATCTTAATTTTAGTATTAATATTAATGTTAACATTATCTTATTTTTTTTAATGTGAAATTTGTTAATATTATCTTAATTATCTGTTAATATTAAATTATCTCAATATTTTTTATAATTAATATTCTGGAAATAGAATAATATATGTATTAGCTACGAGTTAATATTATTATTTTGTTAAATTGTTAATATATTTTCCGCTTGTGGATTTTCTACATATATATATGTGTGTATATAGATATATAAAATTTACACCTCAGGCCTACGCATCATTGCCCAATGAGGCTTACGCAAATACGCAATACACAATAACAAAAATCGCCACGATTACGCAATACGCAATTTGTAAGCCAACATTTCAGAATTTTGAAAATGTGATATACATTGATGAAAAATGATTTTCATGTCTAAAACATCACAGAGGTTCTACATGGGTTTGGAAGAGCAGGATCCTCACATGGTGTGCAAGTCAAAGAGGTTCATAACTAAGGTTATGTCCCTCGGAGTAGTGGGCAGACCTTTGTTTTCAGACAGTGGGAAAGTACTCTGGGATGGTAAAGTAAACATGTTCCCATTCATTCAAAAGGTAGCAGCTAAAAGGAGAAGAAAAAATAGAGATGCAGGGGTGATGGAAACAAAGCCTATAGTTAACATTACAAAGGAATTATTCAAAGAGATGTTAATCAACACAGTGTTACCAGCAATTAAGGCAAAGTGGTCAAAATACTTAACCAATGACATTATAATCCAACAGGATAATGCAAGGCTACACATTTTAGCCTCAGATGCAGATTACATGGCTGCATTCAAAGCTGTGATGGGTTCAATATAAGCCTAACTAACCAACCCCCCGATTCCCCATATCTATCTTAACATACTAGACCTTGGATTTTTCAGGGCAATACAATCTTTGAAAGATCAAAATGCACCCAAAAATGTTGATGAACTTTTATATGCAGTTAATGATGCTTTCTACCGGCTATCACTCATCACTTTGAATAAGGTGTGATTAAGCTGTCAATATGTGATGGTAAAAGTAATTAAAGTGGAAGGGGGGAACAATTACAAGCTACCATACCATGGAAAGGATAGAATAATCACAGAAGGGAGACTGCCCATAGCTATTGAGGTAGATGTTGGTCTTATAGAAGCCATATGAAGCTTTTTGTCCCAACATCCAACCTCTTCTACTGACATACAAGAGGAAACTGACGGGCAGTTCATAATTGAAGAGGAGGAAGAATTGCATTAGGAGGTTTTTTGGGTTTTGTTGTATAGGCTTTTTTTGTCATTTATGTACAGGCCTTAAGAGTCAGATATGCTTAAAGGTGTACAGTTTCAACTATTAGACTCATATGAGTAGATAGGCCCATATTTTGGAGATGCCCATATAATATATTCATCATAGCAGCCTCATACAAACATTGCTGAGACCATGGTTCTAAAAGTCGGATAAATCGGCTGCCTAGGCACCGGAAACTTGCTAGGCGCCCCTTTCCTGTATTGATTTTCTTGTTTTTGGCTCTGTAATCGTTCCTCCCAGTAATCGCCCGCTGTGACCGATTAATCGCCCGCCCAGCCATTAAAATCGGCCGCCTGGTATAGATGTTGCTCGCTCCAAACCTTTTCTAAAAAAAGTTTCGTTTTTTGACTTTTTTTACCGCGAGATGACGAGGACGGCCCTTTAATTTCTTCCCTTTGCTGTCCACAAAATTGGCGTGCCCCTTTCTTCGACCTAATACAAGCTTTCTTCTCTGCTATGGAACGGCCGCCATAGTGAAGAATGCTGAGTCTTATTCTCTTCCATTTCCGGATTTTCTTCTTTGAGTATTGAATCATCTTCTCCACTCTCCAGCAGTCCAGGTAAAGGTGTTTTGATTGTATTATTATACTCCGATGGATTTGAGATTGATGATTAAAGAACCAATACATACTTTCGAATAATTTCAGTAGTTATTAAGATAGTTCGAAAATATGTATTGGTTTTTCTTGACACTTTTGAAATCCCAGTTGCTCTCCATATCTAATGATTTAGCGGATGAACTCCCTACAAAATGTTATTATCATTTATTGGGTATGTTCTTTAAATGATGGTGTTTATTCCACTACAACAACAACATCCAAGCCTTAGTCCCAAAAGATATTAGGGTCGGCTTATCACCACCAAAAGGAAAAGAAAGAAAATAGAGATAAAAAGATAAGCTATGATAAAAAGATAATATAAAAAGAGATGAATATACATAAAAATGATAAAATAAAAAGGATAAAATAATGCTTATATATATAAGGATATAAAACAAGGAAAAAAAATGAGGGGAAAAGATGATACGAGATCACTCCTCCACACGAATACCCGCCCTCCACTTAGCTCTCTCCAAAGTCATGCCCTCATCCAACCCCAAAAGAAGCATATCACTTCGAACTCCCCTAACCCACGTCTGTTTGGGTTTTC